TCTGACTTACAGCGACTCTCATTGGATTTGTGAGGTGGTAAACTTTTATGGAAGTAGAGTACCCAGTCTTCCTTCCGAGGAGTGGCTGGTGGGTTTGAACCACCAGCCTTCTGGTTAGCAGTCAAATGCCTTAGGCACTGCACTATCAGAGCATCCATTGACTGGTGGCAGGAGGTTGGAAATGATTGAATAGAGGTATGGAGGGAGGAGGAGGAGACTGACAATAAGATTTGTAAGACATCAGTATGAAAAGGAATAGTTAATCATATGAAGATGGATAGACCCTTCCACATGGTATAAATATTTGAAAATTCTTTTGTGCTTTTATTCTTTATTTTTAGAAGAATAATTCTCTCCCCTCACACTAGAAGTTTATATGTGTAAAATTAATTGACCCTTGGAAGGAAATGAGAAAAATAACTACACTACAAAAGTGTAGTGGGAATAAATTTAAAATCCATATGCTAATTGTGCAAATAAAGGTAACTGTTTTTATTGACTTACTTTCTATCTTAAGGTTTTATTCTATCTGGCAGTAAAAACTAGAAAACTCAATCTTGTCAATTTAGGATAAACTCCATTAATTTAAGGTCCCCCCCAACTAAGCACACAAACTGAGATAGTATATAAATTCCAGAGGGCCTATCTAGTATCATGCTATCAGGGAGATGCACTTGGTCATGGATCAGCCTCTGCCTATTGTAGTATCTGCTAAGAAGCTCCCTAACCCCATATGGATACTGGTCAAATGCACCTTGCATCAACTCTCACCTTGTCTAAAAAGTCTTCCAAGTATTTCAGGCCTTGAGGTCCTATAATAACACTTGGAAAAACACTTAACTAGCTCCAATATCCCCCAATGGCAATTAGAGTACTACAGGTCTGATTGGGGACCATCTGCCCAGTACCCACAATATCACTTTCCAGTGCCATGGTGAGAAGGAGAATTCTAGACTCTTGTGAACTCCAGGGCTTGTGGTAAGAAGTCATGAATCCATTTCCTCCTCTTGCAAATCGTTAAACTACTGTAGAATGAAGTAGAAGACTCCTACTACCCCATGTTCTGAAGGGCTTGGCCTGGTCTTGGTAGGATTGGGAGGTGGGGCATGACAGAGCCAAGACCTTCTCAGAGACATCTGCCTGTGCTCTTCTCTGCATCTGTCCCTACTCCCTCTAACCCAAAGAGAGAAAATCTTTTTCTAGTCCGACTGGGCCAAGTTTTCTCTCTATTGTTTAGGTCAAAATCTCAACTCAGAAGACCTTGGTCCTCATGACTCAAAAACTCTTTTTTCTTCACCTGTTATCGTCTTGAATTTGGAAACTTTATTTTGAAACTCACAAAGTAAGGGTGGGTATATTTATTTTCTTTTGCTTTGCCTTTTAAACTTCCTGCCTTGGGATCAATAAACTCAGCCTGTCTAACGGCCTGAACTGGGTGTGTGCCACTGTCCAAAGAAGAAGACTGAATGGGAGAATAGGATAGAACCCTATTAGCTAATATTTCAAAATATTATTCCTCTTCATCATTATTCTCATGAAATAAGAATGTAAATTTTAGAATAAGCTACCTATGTTTGAATTCTGACTATGCTATCTTTTATTGACCAATTTCTGAATGTGACTGATGCTTAACTTCATATTTCTTGTAAAACAAGAATGACAGGATCTATCTCCTACAGTGGATATAAGTAACAGAAGAGATAGTGCCTGGCCTGGAGAAGAAGTTTGATGAATGTCTATTTGATTGTGAATGGAGGTTCAGAGCAAAGTGCAGATACCGGTTTTATGGAGAGTACTGTATCTTCAAGCTTCCTTGGCTCACATCACTGGCACAACAATAAAATGAACCATTATCATTTTACATTTGAGGATGCTAGTGGGTGGAAAGTGACAAAAGTATGGCCTGAAAGATCAGTAAAACCTGTTTAAATTTCAGCATTGCCTGTTATTTTATGACAAATAAGTTGTTTAATCTTTCAGAGTGACAGTTTACTCATAAAAGAAAGAACTTGGTCATTAATTACTATGTGGACCTAATATACAGAACAAGTAACTAAATATTATTATACTGTGATTTCCATGTGTGTGTTCTTGAATTAGAGATAGAACCACATCTAAGCCTTAGGGACTAAAAGGAAAGTTGGAACAGGGTGTCTACCTCCCTCTACTTGGTGAAGAGAACACATAACAACCCGAAATCAAGCAAACAAAATGAGGTAGAACCTGAATTTCTTGTGAAATGATGTAGGTGATGACAAGGAGCCTTGATGGAGAACAAAGGATGCTACAGTCACTTTAGGTTTGTATCTAGGCCTGGACCAAATGTGGCCTTGATTCATTCCTTAGAGTGACAGCACAAATAAAGAATCATCTGAACTGGCTTACTTTCAACTGTTCTGTATTCACAGAGCCTAACATAGAGCAGGTTTTCAATACATGTTGAATAAATGCATAGAGTGAACAGGGAGGAAGGGAAGTTTATAAACTTAAGACTTTCAAAGTTTTCAGAATATACTTTATGTGTTTGTCTGCTATCATCAAGCCTTAAATGCAGGTTGAAGTAGATGTAAATGAGAGTCTTTATTTTCTTGATGAACCAAATCCTAGCTCATATGCAAAGTATGTTCTCTTAGGAGAGAGAGTTCCATTTTCAGCTTTATGAGACTGCGCTGAAAGTAAGTCTTACAGTACAGAACAGAACACATGTTTATCAAGGATTCTAGGGACATGACTTATTATAAAAAGAGTCTCTGGGTGGCACAAATATTAAGCACTCAACTACAACTGGCCAAATATTTGGCAGTTCTTCTGAAAGGTCACAGTCTTGAAACCTATGAAATAGTTGTACTCGGACACACATAGGGTCTCCATGAATTGGAATAGACAGCAACTTTTTTTTTTTTAAATGGTGGAAATAATTTATTATTATTATTTTGTAATTATGATGGTATAGCAATACTACTTCAGGCTTGAACAAGTGGCAAATGTGTGGATTTAGAAACTAGACAAACTTAGGTTTGAATCCCCTCTATGCCATTTATTCACAATGTAAATTTGTTTGACCTGCTTAATATTGCTAAGTCATAGTGATCACATTTGTAAAGGAGAATAGTAGTATCTACCTTGTAGTGTTTTCAAGCTAGTACTTACTTGTGGTATAGCAGGCCCTGAGTAAATGACAGTACTGTGCAGATGTTCTCCCTGAAGAGCTCCTTGATCTGGATGATAAAACAGTTGAGGGAAAAGAAACAGTAGAGGTAGAATAGGAAACTTGTGCTCTCCTACCTTTAAGTTCTGAGAAGGATGCAAAGGAGGCCCCAAAGGCATGAAATTAGGGAATGCTGCAGAAACCACCATAAATTATTGTTTTCAAATCCTGTGTAAGAGAGTTCTGGTGGCACAGTGGTTAAGGCAGTTGGCTGAGAACCAAAAGGTCAATGGTTTGAACCTACCAGCTGTTCTGTGGAAGAAAGATGGGCAGTCTGCTTCCATAAAGATTTATAGAGTTGGAAACCCAGTGGAGGTCACTATGAGTGGAAATCATCTCAAGGGCTATAAATTTGGTTTGGTAAGTATGTTTTTTGGTGTAATAAGCAGAAAGAGGCTGCTAAGTCAGCTGAAGTTCAGATTCTAAGACAGGCACACTCAACTCGAGGATTTGTACTTTTTGTTCCCTAATGATAAAGAAGGAGCTCTGGTAGCATAGTGCCTAAGGCACTTGACTGCTAACCAGAAGGCTGGCGGTTCAAACCCACCAGCCACTCCTCGGAAGAAAG